TCCTTGAAGACGCCTGAAAATTATAGGCCGTTCCTATTTTAGTAAGGTGGCAAACTCAGAAAATCAGCAGCATATACTGAAATATGGTAAAAACAAAAGAGGTGAGATACAAATAAACAAACAACAAAGTTGGTGTCATTTAAAGTTTGTTTCTAAAGAAAGAGTTTGAATAAAATGAATGTACTTTTCAGATGTTTGAATTAAAATAAACGTCTCTATCTATGGACGCGAATAAGACACTGAAGTTCCATGAAGACAAAGAATGAGAGGGACACCTCGACATGGTGTAATGTTCTCCCAAGAACAATTACAGCTCAGTAATGAGATCGATCCTCACTGGCCTCCTGTCGCATCTAAGCTACGCTTAGAAGATCACCAGACGAATAAAGAAAGAACAAGAACAGTCTGTTAAACTCCGAGCTGCGCCATTGGGCATAAGCTTGTCGGTAAATGTAGCTAATCAATTGATGACAGTTCCTTTGAAGTTGCTGATAGCCAAAGCAGATATCTCTCTGGAATAATGCGTCTACTGACTGTTTGGATGTCTGCCTTAGATTTTTTTAGAGGCACCGAACAAGTAAATGGAACGATTTGATTTGTCTATTATTCTTCCTTGTTGTCACGTGGTATGGCTCTCTACTAGGTCCGCTCGGAACGGATTCAGTGCAAAGGATATTGAAAGTTACAAAATCGATGGTATAAGCGCTATTTCTCGTGGGGCTATAAGCACACAGTATCATATACGTACACATTTATTAACTACTCGCGTAAAATGGGTCTAAATTCCATATATAACATTTCTTTCATCGCAAAAAAATACCTATCATCTTTTTCTTCTTTTTTTCAGGATTTCATTCCAAGCAAGGTAATAAAACCACTAAGACGCAGAAGAGATGGTTACTGTGAGTGAGAAAATATGAAACGAACAAAACATTACTAAAGAAAGAGAAGAACACGGATTAAGAAGATAAAAGATAACGATCGATATTGCATTTGATTTTTGTAAAGTTCAACGTTGACTGGAAAGCAAGAAGCTGGACGAGAGTTCGACTAGCGAAAAGTGCGAGGAAAGAAACTGTTAGCATAGAACTTACGGTTGCATCTAGCCATTTCAACTGAAAAATGATGAGACCTTGCCACCAAATTATTTAAAGGAAAGGCACAGGAAAGCTACATTATGGTGGTAGGAAAGTGACTGAAGCCGAGATGCCAATAAGTGAATCTTATGTGAGAGAAGAAACTGTTAGCATAGAACTTACGGTTACATCTAGCCATTTCAAATGTAAAATGATGAGACCTTGCCACTAATCTAGTACTGCACTTAAATTCATAAAGTCTATGTACCATAGTGAAAAGAAGAATTAGTATGAAATTATTTAAAGGAAAGGCAAAGGAAAGCTACATTACGGTGGTAGGAAAGTGACTGAAGCCGAGATGCCAATAAGTGAATCTTATGTGAGAGAAGAAACTGTTAGCATAGAACTTACGGTTACATCTAGCCATTTCAACTGTAAAATGATGAGACCTTGCCACCAATCTAGTACTGCACTTAAATTCATAAAGTCTATGTACCATAGTGAAAAGAAGAATTAGTATGAAATTATTTAAAGGAAAGGCAAAGGAAAGCTACATTACGGTGGTAGGAAAGTGACTGAAGCCGAGATGCCAATAAGTGAATCTTATGTGAGAGAAGAAACTGCTAGCATAGAACTTACGGTTACATCTAGCCATTTCAACTGTAAAATGATGAGACCTCGCTGCCAATCTAGTACTGCACTTAAATTCATAAAGTCTATGTACCATAGTGAAAAGAAGAATTAGTATGAAATTATTTAAAGGAAAGGCACAGGAAAGCTACATTATGGTGATAGGAAAGTGACTGAAGCCGAGATGCCAATAAGTGAATCTTATGTGAGAGAAGAAACTGTTAGCATAGAACTTACGGTTACATCTAGCCATTTCAACTGTAAAATGATGAGACCTTGCCACCAATCTAGTACTGCACTTAAATTCATAAAGTCTATGTACCATAGTGAAAAGAAGAATTAGTATGAAATTATTTAAAGGAAAGGCAAAGGAAAGCTACATTATGGTGGTAGGAAAGTGACTGAAGCCGAGATGCCAATAAGTGAATCTTATGTGAGAGAAGAAACTGTTAGCCTAGAACTTACGGTTACATCTAGCCATTTCAAATGTAAATCTATGAGACCTTGTTACCATTTAAATTCTTTAAATCTAGCCACCATCGAGCAAAATGTATCGGAAAGAATTTATAGAAAGGTTACAGGAAAGCTACGTTACGATGGCGGTTAAAGATGCCGAGGTGCCAGGTCAGGACCGATAGCATTTGAGATTCTTCTTTTTATCTTGAATCTCAAAATACGTAGAAGCTCCAGACCAAATGTGGAAGCAGTATTCAAAGCATGGATGAATGGTAGACTTATAAATATGTAAGATAGATTCTGGCAAGAAAAAATGGTCACGCACGAAGTGGTTTCCTAGCAAAAGATCTAGCAGTTGATTCAATATAATCGTTAGCTCTTATAATCTGGAGACTGCGCAATGAGTCACTCATCAGGAGGTTAGCAAAGTTCATCAGCACAATTAGTAATTTATAGAAGAGGTGTATGGAAGCTACATTACTACGGTGGGAATGAGACTGAAGCCGAGATGCCAGGTCAGGACCAACAATATTGCAAATTATTACTTTTATCTAATCAAGAATCTCAAAATACATAGCAGAAGCAGTAGACCAGATGTGACAGCAATATTCAAAGCATGGACGAATTGTAGACTTATAAATGGGTAAGATAAATTCTACCGCAAAATAAATGTCCTGCCCCTGCACACCAGACCTATCGATTCATTCGGAATAATTTTCCACTTCGTGTTTATTTTAATGGATAATGGCTTGGAATTGTTAATTGTTGGTTTTTGAGAGCTGGGAATCAATTCCTGCAGTGTTCGTTATATTCACTTATTTTGGAACGGTAGGAAGCCACCTCTTCTCCCTCCAGCTATAGGTTAATTAGTAAGAATTTTATCACTAAACCATTATTATCTAAAAGAACAAAAATACTCACATTCTACATTCTTCGGGCTTTAAATAAACTAAAAAGGGTTGATAGGACGTAGAAAGCGAATCAATCCATCAAATCCACGTCAACGGAAAAACGTTAGCGCAAGAAGTCGCAACGAGTTTCTTTCCTGGAAGCTAGCATCAGCCATATTGATGAGAAGCAAAAAGATTCTCTCAGACGAATAAAAGAGAAAAGTTTCATTATGTAGGCGTTAAAATTAGCAGGCCATTGCTTGCCCCAGTTAACAACAGATCATTTCTGAGATCAGCTGCCGATTTAACCTTATCAAATCCATCAGACTTGCCATTAAACAGGAGTAAATAGCTGTGTCATCAGAATAAATATCGTGTTCTTTCTAGAGATCCCTTGTTTGCTTAGAACCTTTGAAAAGTTAAATGGGACGATCTGATTGGTCCAGTATTCTTCCACTTTGTCATGTGATAGCTTTCTCTACTATGTAAATGATTTTGAAATTTACAAAACCGATGGCGCGAACGTTAATTTTCGTGGGGGCATCCGAGTATTAACCACACAGTATCTTTTTTTATATATTTTTTCCTCAATAGGAACATACGTTTATATGAACAGGAGTAGAGGTTTGTCTTTGTCCTGTGTTTAGGATCGAGTTTCCGGTTCCTTCTAAAATATTTTCGTTCTCTTTCAAACATTCGGTAGAGCCCCTTGTGTCTTAGTAAATATAATAGTGGAAGATGTGAATTTACATGTGGAAGGCGTAAATAGATTTATGCTAGACTAAATGTAATTGTAGAAGGTGGAAATATACTCGTTGAAGACATAAATATAATCGGGCAAGCCCTAAATATAATTATGGAAGGCGTAAATGTAATTGTAGAAGGCGTAAATGTAATTTTGGAAGGTACAAATGTAATTGTGGATCTCCTAAATATAATTATGGAAGGCGTAAATGGAATTGTGGATCTCCTAAATATAATTATGGAAGGCGTAAATGGAATTGTGGATCTCCTAAATATAATTATGGAAGGCGTAAATGGAATTGTAGAAGTCGTAGATATAATTATGGTAGGCGTAAATGGAATTGTGAAAAGTGTAAATATAATTGTGGATGTCCTAAATAAAATTATGGACTGCGTAAATGTAATTGTGCAAGGAGTAAATGTAATTGCGTAAGTACTAATATAATTATGGAAGGCGTAAATGTAATTGCAGAAAGCGCAATTGTAATTGTGGAAAGCGTAAAATTAATTTGGGAAATCCTAAATGTGTTATGGAAAGCGTAAATATAATTGTGGAAGATTTAAATATAATTGTGTAAAGTGTAAATGTAAATGTTCAAAATCCTAAATGTAATTGTGGAAGGTGTAAATATAATTAAGGCGAACTGGTATATATATATATATATATATATATATATATATATACACACTTTTATTAACTACTCATAGAAAACGGTTTGTAATTTGCGTATATAAGATTTATTTGATTATTGAAATAAACTGGCAGCTTTTTCTCATATTAAGTTTGTTTCAGCATACCGATGACAGATTTAACTATAGTGCTGAAACCCCGTGATATGTTAAGCATCCAATACAGTTGTAGAATTACTCACTTATGGCAGTCGTTTTTAGTAGCATATGCAAAATAGCAGTAATAATAATAATAAATGATACTTTTTTTAATCATCGTCAATATTTCTGCTTTTACCATTAATATTTCTACATGAATAGTTTGTTTAATTTCTTTATTTAAATAATAATAGCATTGCAGCTGATGATATGAACTGGCCTTTTTAGAAGCTTTTTGCAGTCAACGTTATTTATACGACTTTTTAACCAATATATATATATATATATATATATATATATGTATGAATTTTAATTCCTAAACTAATTTTGTTATCACCTCGTTTAATGAAATTATTGATAAATCATAATTTCGCTAATGAGGTATTATATTCCTGTTCTCGCCGTGTCGCATTCTTTCTTTCGCACGAGGTTTGATATTCACATTTTTCCCCTTTTTAAAAGGGTGGGCGGAAGACACGAAAGTCGATAACATACACCAGCCTTGCTTACCTTTCGCTGCGCATGCGTCCTGTCCGCCTTCCCTCTCATTCCTATGCTGCCTTGAAGTGTATCGATATTTTTAGACGTGCGTGTTCGATAATTTTATTTTCGCCTCTGCGTTGGCATAGGAACGAGAAGGAGAGACTTCGAACGCCTGTCGGTCGAATCTAAATTAATTCTAAGGTTGAATGTGGGTTCATAATGGCGTGCGAAACGAGAGTTTTATGTAAAGCCCCTTCGAAATTCTTACGTGCTCTGGAAGAGTTTCTTATTTAAGCGTTAAGTTTATAAATAAATAAAAAATCAGAATTGCATCGCCAGAGTTTTTGGTCAGTCTGTCATGGAAATAGTGATAGAGTTACAAGAGGCTAGGGTTACTTTGTCTGTGGGGAAAAAAGGTTGCTGGGCGGGAAATTCATCACCTACAAGTCCGTGTAGACGCTGTTAAACTAACAAATCTGGAAAATGAAAACATTGTAAGCCCAACTCAGATTTGGTAGTAGTACTCCAAATTTCTTTTGATCTATGTCCGTATATATATATATATATATATATATATATATATATATATATATATATATATATATATTATTTTTATAAAAAAAAATTTATAACATAAATATGTTATAAAATCACTACAAAAATAGCCATTTTGTTTCAACACCCTCGGTGTCATATCAAGTGATGATGTTGAAGTTTAAAAAAAATAAATAGTTTTAAAAGTTTCAAATTAATTAACGGTTCTTCGCTAGGGGAAAACATTGTTACAAAAGCTAGAATGACCAATCAAAACCCAAGTATAGGAAGATTCAAAAGCTTGACAACGAAATCATGTTATAATAGCTATTCAGATCTTTAAAATACGGGTAATATTAAAAAGAATCTATTCTAACCAATAATTATTAAATTATATGATAAAATTTGATATTAAAATTAAAAACTGCCAATTTTAAAATCCAAATTTAATCACTATTAAGTTTACAAATTATAAAATTACTGATTCAATTTATTTCTTCGTTGAAATTACTTTAGAACAGACGCTAACAATATCCGATCATTTGACAATAAATGTATATATATTTTAATCCAAAGTGTTTGAATGGGGTCTTATAAGAATAGTAATCGTTGGTTATTGGAATTCATTCCGTATACACCAATTATATACTTGGGTATATATATATATATGTGTGTGTGTGTGTGTGTGTGATATCATGAGGAGACGGGTAATTATTGCAACGTTAGAAGCAACCAACTATCTTATTACCGTCTTTAGCTTATCAGTTTCACTTGTGATCTGGTGCGAACTTTGAGTCGCAATAGACATTCAAAGCAACGAAGACGTAAATATAATCTCGCGATCACGAGTCACCACTTGTACTGCAGCCGCTGCAGAATTAGCGAACCTTGGGCAAGAAAGGCTTGTTTGAAATAAGAGTTTTCCTTCTCCTAGAGCGGTTGCCAATAGAACCCAGTTTGTCCTGCTATTTACCCATACCTGGGGGAGAAAAGACGGATTCACACCTTTTCCAGGCGTATTAGAACGTAAGGGAATGTAATGGACTCGACTGGAATTCGAACTCGTCTCTCCAATTCCTCAATCCGATCCGCAATCCATTACTCTACCGTGCCTCCAAAGTATATAATCTAAGAAGACTTAGATCTACTCAGGGTTGTATAAATATACACTTGGCAAGCGTACGTATAATCGTTGAAGTCGTAAATATATTCGGGGAAGAAAACATGAAAGAAAAGAAATATATTTGCAACTTCGTCTCCATACTTAATAGTTAGATATTGGTGGTTAGTAATTTCTTGTTGTCATTTCAACGGAATATCTCATTACTTAGCAATAGATCAAGTTGCCTGTCCGATAAATATATACAATCATGTTGTGCTTCATAATGATTTAGAAAGTACGAATCAATCGGTTAGAATCTAAAACATTACTCAAACGGAATTGATTAATCAACTTGCTAATCATTACATCACCCCAAATTCTAGAATTTAATATTATTTTGCATATTATGTATTCAAACCAATAATAATTGGTCATTTAAAATGGGGATCACGTGACAGGAAGTCTCCTTAGCATAACCGATGCTCTTCTTTGAATTGTGAATACTTTCGTTTGAATGCTTTCTTCTATGTGGACGTTATACTAATCATGTCTCTTCACAACTTCTTATTCTTTGTAACTTTTAACAAAGTTTGTCCTTTTGCCAAGTGTAACACCCCCGACTCCGTTCTTCCATCCATCCATACCAGCTCATCAGGTAGGTGGCCTGCTACCGCTCACTTGGTTTATGTATGTCCTATGTGTGTCAAATTCTCCATGCCCTCCTTTCTCGTTAAGTATCCAAGAAATTTTAGCTCTCTCTCTCTCTCTCTCTCTCTCTCTCTCTCTCTCTCCCTCTCTCACTCTCTCTCTCTCTCTCTGATTCAGGGTGTCATTTTTTGTTTCCATTTTCCTTAAGACTTCTTCGTTGCTTGCACGCTTCGACAATGGCATTCTCAGCATCCTTCTGTAGCACCAGATTTCCGTTGCCTCTTGTCTTACACTAACCCATTTTCCAATCTTTATTTTATTCTATTTTATTTATTTTTATTTTATTTTTTTGGGGGGGGTCTCTTCGGAAACGTTCCTAGTGCTCCGATAACGATTGGGAGTACTATATATTTTATGTTCCACAACTTCCGTCGTTCTTTTTTCTACATTTTCACTTTCATTCAGATCTATTCTAATAACAAGAAGAAGAAGAAGAAGAAGAAGAAAAAAAATTCGTCATATAAAAATTTACAACAAAAATCGGCTTACGAACACATGACGTTGAAACGTACGATCACTAAAGTTAAGCAACGTCAAACCTGGTCAGTATCTAGATAGGTGACTGTTTGGGAATGCCATGCGCATTAATCTTGGATGTGCGGATGGTGTAGTGAATAATGGCTCGGAATTGTTAATCGGATAGCCGAGTTCCAATTCCAGTTAGGTTCGTTATAACCATTTACGCGTAAATACCATTGAGAAACCTCTTCTCACATCACCCCCAGCTATGGATAAAACTATTAAGACTTGTATTACTAAACAATTATTATCTGAAAAAAATTTCACAATCTAAAAAATAAGTTCTGGCTTTAAATAAACTGCAAAGGGTTGATAAGCCATAAAAACGAATCAATCAAAAATTATTTTTATATTAGTTTCTTTCTTTTCTTTTCTTTTTTTTATGTTTTCCCTTTGCTGATTGCTAATATTGTTTTTGTTGAATCGATTGATTGATTTATTTTTATTAATTTGTTTCGATGGATTCATGTTTTTGTTACTGGCGAAACTATTTTAATTCTGTTAAAAAATTATTTTTTTTACCATCGTATTTCTTCGTATTTTTATAAATTTTTGGTTGTCAAATTTTCTTGGGTTTTTTTTTCACGTATAACTTTCTAGTTTCCTTTTATTTTTCATTTTTTTTTCCTTTTTATGCAAATCTGTTTTATATTGGCTTACCATTTTTTGTTTATATCAGTGTCCAAAATTTGTCCTCCTTTTTCTTTTCTTTTTCTCTTTCTATTGCACTATATTTCTTTCATTCTTTCTTTCTTTCTTTCTTTCTTTCTTTCTTTCTTTCTGTTGTCCTATTGTTTCTTCGTATTTTTCGTTTCTTTCCTTCCCTGTCCCTTCCTTTTGTTCGTTTGTCCTTTCTTTCTTTTCTTTTCTCTCTCTCTTCTTTTTCTTTGTAGTCTTCTTTCATCAATCCCGTTTTGTTTCTTTCGTTCTTTCTTTCTTTCTTTCTTTCTTTATTTTTATTCGTATAACACGGCCGGACTGGGTCAATCCGGAATCCTTCCCACGCTGGTCAATTGATAGTTAACTGTTGACCGCTTCGTTCCTTCGCCCGCTTTGATCACAGTGCAGCGAAGATCGAATTTTCGTGCGTACTTAAGCGCTCAATCGAGTTGTGACGGAACCGTGCTACAAAAATGACAACGAACGCTTCCGCTGGTGAAAATATAATTACCACAACAAATAAGGAAAAAGTTCGCTGGGTTAATTTTCAGTTGCTTTATATTATCAGTGTTACAACAAAATTAACCCATCCCGTTAAACTCTCTATTGTGATAGTGTATATCTTACTTCTAAAATTTGCAGCGGGTTAAACATGCATAACGAATTAGGTCGAGAATTCTGTCGTCAGCAGGTCACGTGGGGTTCAGCAGCTCCTCCTCTGCTGCTGTTACGACTAGTCTGCGTCCTTCGCTCCAAGTGCCGGCTTCAGCTAAGCGTTTGGTTTATATGTATTTCGTCCGACTCCTACTGCATCTCAAAAGTCAGTTATTAACTATCCATCAATTAATCATTTTCTCCAAACGTCGAGACATCAAAACAATGACATTTGTCTCCAGATTCCTTTTTGTACAAGCGGCCGTGACATAATTGAATTTTTACCGTTAACAAATTTTTGTGTTTAAAAATTTATTTGAAATCGGCAAAGAATTTTCATTGTCGAATTGCAATGAATTGTTTGTTGATTTCCCAATACGACTCAAATAATTTTCTGTTCAGTTGAAAAAACCCGACTTTCCGAATTCTTTCAGCTTTACCCAATTTCCTCCCCGGCAGTCAAGGACCTTCAAATACCTAAACAGTCAACTATTCAAAACAATGATTTTTCCCGATAACTGTTGCGTTTTGAAATTTTCTCATTCCTCAGGATATATTTTACACTGTTTTACATTCCGGCTTTTGGATTCATAACAATTCTATCCATCCATCAGTTTATCAGGGAAGAAAAAGTTTCTCTTTTTTTCTTCGCTTCATATTTCAATTCATATTTCTAACCCTTCCAATTGTCCAATTCCTATACGAACGTTTTAATCCTAATTTCATACTATTAATGTTACAATAGTGTCACATTTGTTTTCATCTTCACTTTTCTTTATGCCCTTATTTTTTTTCGTTTTTCTTTTCATCCACCCTCTTACTTTCTTTGTTTCTTTCTTTCTCTTTCTTTCCTTGCTACCTTCTTTCTATCATTAATTCCTTCCTTCTTTCTATCATTCCTTTTTACTTTCTTCTTCCTTCCTTCCTTCTTTCCTTCCTTCCTTCTTTCCTTCCTTCCATTCTTCCTTCGTTCCAGCCTCCTTTCTTTCCTTCATTCCATCATACCTTCTTTTCGTCTCCCTTCTCTGATTCCCTACTTCCTTTCTTTCTTCCTTCGTTCAAGCATCCCTTCTTTTCTTCCTTCTCTGATCCACTCCCTCCTTTCTTCCTCTCCTTCCCATCCTCATTTCCATTTTTACATCCTTCCTTCTTTCCCTCCTCCCCTCTTTCCTTTCCACCTTTCTTTGTTCCTTCCTTCCTTCCTTCCTTCCTTCCTTCATTCCCTGCATTTGTATTTCCTTTTTTTCTTTCTTCTTTCCTTCTTTCCCGTCCTTCTTTCCCTCCTTCAGTCGCTCTTTCTGTAACCATTTCCTGATTCACCCGTTGCAGAAAGACACTTTATAAAAGCTTGTGTCTAACATTTCATTTGGGTAGAAGCCAAAAAACAGAATATGGTGAATATATTTTTTAAGTTAAGATTTTTTAAGATAAAAATGGCTGACCAACCCTGTAAACTGAGCCTGTTTATTTTTCTATCGAAAAAAGGGACATTATCATACGATAAATATCATGAAAAATATTGAAATATGTCTCAAAGGAACAGGAAAACAGTGTTGTGCTGCCCTACCAATAAACTGTGGCATATCAGTTACTCAATGAAAATTCAGCTGTACCGGGAACATACAAGAGATGTACAAATGTGCAACTTTGGTAGTTTTTAACCGCTGGAGATTCCATTGCTAATTACAATGGAGGAAACTAAATTTCCTCTTCGAACTTTTGCCTAATGAGAGATCCGTCACATGCTGATCATCAATGACGATATTTTTTGTAGATAAAGGTGATTAAATGAATCAGGTTTCGAAGAATCTGACTGTCTGTCTCTATCAGCCATTTTAATAAATACTGTTTTATTTTCTTCTGCTGTTCGTTTACCGATACCGTCAAGACAATGACGCCATGTTTTTCTTCGGTCATTTCTAGTTTTATATTTCTCAATTGTCATAGAAATGCGTATCGATTCTGAGAGAGTGCGCATTGCACTACTTAATATCAACAGAAAACCAATCCCTCATTTTATGTCCATCACAGTTTTGTATAAATTGTATATTACTATTGCCATCAAGAAATCAAATTATATATTAAAATATAGTTACTATAGAATTACTAACATTATGGGACAGAATATCGTTATTATATAATAACTGACTTTCTAGGACATAATATTGTTATTGTAGAAAAAGGACATTATAGGACACAATATTCTTATTATAGAACTGACATTATAGGACAGTACTGTTACTATAGAAAATATATTAAACATTATACAATATTGTTATTATCAAACTGATATTACCAGACAAAATATTGTTACTAGAGAAAAACGGACATTATAGGAGACGATAATCTTAATCCAGAAAACTGATATTATACGACACGTTATTGTTATTACAGAAGGGCACAATATAGTCACTATAGAAAAAATAACATTATAACGTTACTATAGAATGACAAACATTATAGGGCACAATCTTGCAGCTACAGAATAACTGACATAATTGAACAGAATATTGTTACTGGAAAAACGTTTTTCAATTGTCATAAAAATACGTAGTAATTCTGGGGTGAGGTGCTTTCTATTATTATGAATCTTTGAATAAATTCCTCTAATTATATTAAGCTATAGTAATTGTGAAGGATAATAGATAGCGGCTCGGATTGAGGGATCGGAGAGCCGAATTCGAATTCCAGTCGAATCCATTACATTCATTTACGTGCTAATACCCTTGGGAAAGGTATGAATCCTCTTCTCCCCCACCCACAGCTATGGATAAATAGCAGGACGGATCAAGTTCTATAGCCTTGGATGGCAACTGGTCTACTGCAGAAAAGAATAGCAACCTACTCCAGGAAAAAAAGCTGCCTTGTCATTCATGTATCGAAAGATACATGACCGCTTAAGCGTGTATCACGAATGGCACATAACTGACTGACTGATAGTAATTGTAATGGATAAATTTGCTACTTTTTGTGATGTTAGACGGCTTCGCTTGTCACTTTTGTTATTTCAAGCGAAAACTCGTTATCACTTCCAAAGATGCTTGTTATATTCGAGACTTCGTAGATGCCGGTATTGGTAGTAACGCCTTCCAGTAATATCCGCACTAGTAATACTTGATCAAGTAGTAATCGCCAAATAGTACAAGGATCAGAAAAGAAACGTAATCATTATATTAGTAGCGTAGAGAGTGACCGTAAAGCAATAGTGGATAGACAAGAAGAGTGAACAGTACGTATTTACTTTACCCTCACACTAAGTCAGGTTGTGACACACGGTCAGTTTTTAACCTGGGGCCCCGAGTGTCTTCACTCGGGCCGCTAGTCTTAGCTGGACATAGCTTGTCCAGGTTGGTCAGAACTGGTCTAAGCTAGTCACCGCTGGTCTTGGCTGGTCATAACTGTAATGCCAGCGCCCGGTAAGTACCAATGTGTACAAACTACTCGAGAGAACAGTTTATACACTAAGAACGAACAATGAAAATATTTATTGTACTAATTGTACAAATAGGGCACAAGGCCAAAATGGGGAAAGGGAAAAGGGAAAAGATGGTCTTCTTCTGTCTTAACATTAAACTTAGCTAGCCGCAAACACTGACCCAAACATACAAATAATATTCCTTTCACCAAAACAACACATTCTTACTTTCCATTCTTACCTCATGTACCATAATACCTCATAAACCCTATGAAGTCCTAACTAGTCCCCATATATACAAGTCATTGTCTGGGGGTGGGGATGAAATAACAATTAAAAATCTAAAGAAAAAAGCAATGAATATTTACAAATGTGTGCAAAGTGGTATACAAGAAACTAAACAAATTTTTCTAAGTAATAAAACTCCCCACAAAGTCCTAACTGTGACAGTAACATCAGTTCACTGAACAAAATCAATGCGGGACTTTAAAAAAATATAAAACATCCATGCATCCCAAACACAAAAATAGTTACGAAAGTCACAACCAAAACGAAAGACGCCCCGCACCCACCAGAGAACTGACATCAGTATCCACCTAAAGATGGGAGGGATGGGGAATTAAACCAAAAGAAAAAAATAGGGACAAAAATATAAGGGGCCAATGAGCATACACACCCTAGCTAAGTTTACTAAAGAGGAAAAAAATAAAGCAAAAAAACGACCTACACTAAACTATTAAGGGGAGGGTTGCCAATATTCAACACAGCAAATGCAATATCCTCCTAACCGGCATCAAAATGCCACTCTAAATCAGCACGTTTTACTCGGCAGAGACGAGCAAGACTCACCCACCTTTCGCCAAATTTCAATGGATGGAGCCAGGATCATTTGGGAAGAGGTAAACTTCTCGGCCTCATGGAATTCCTTCTGTCGCGTCGTCCATATCACGACTCGCATAACCCCCAGTAAGCAAAGGAACACATATTGCTCAGCCTTAGTCAACGGTGGTACTATATTGCTACAGACGGAACTGGCTTCGAGGACAAAGAACTTTCCGTGCAGCATGCGAACCATGATGTCTTTAACAAAGTTACGCAACGGAGTTACGACACTACAATGAAAAAAGGTGTGACCTAGGGTCTCCACCTCCCCACTGCAGCGAACGCAGTTTGGCGACTTTGCAGAACGAAGTCTTTTGGCAACCCAGAGAGCCCCACGAATCATCAGCCAGTTCATTTCCAACAGGAGGTCGGGACCGAATCAGACGCCGAGTATCTTGACTGGCCCGTCCGTCCAGAGGAAAGATCCCGGAAGAGAAACTCCCTTCCACGAACCCAATCGAAAGCCAACAGACTTATCGCGGTTGATCTTGGCCCCTGTCACCATCTCATAGCCTTTGATTTCTTTGCTGACTTCGTTAATTTCGGCTCTGCTCGACACATGAACCGAAACGTCATCAGCATAGGCGGAGTACCTGGCCGAGGTGATAGCACCAGGTAAGGAAATTCCGCGAAGGACCGGAATCGTCTTCAACTTACGCAGGAAAGGTTCCAACGCAAGAACGTACAGCAATGGAGACAGCGGACAACCTTGACGAATGGAGCGAGACAAAATGAAAGCTTTCTATCTTACCCCATTCACTTCTACCAGCGCACCGGAGGGACGCATACAGCAGTCGGATCTAAGTGCGAAAGTCCGGCCCGAAACCGGCCGCCGAAAGAACAGGCTCCAGAAATCGATCGTCAACCCTATCGAAAGCTTTGGACAGATCTAAATTGATCAGCACGGCATCACTGTCGACTTGCTCGATGATCAAGCGTACCAAGTGAAGGTTGTCCTGAATAGTCCTGCCCTTCACAAGTCTGCTCGGGACCAATCAGGCTAGAGAGGATGACCTGCAAACGGCCGACTAAGACCTTGGCTAAAATCTTCAACTCTATGTTTAACATCGTCAAAGGCCGATAATTATCTATCCCATCCTCACCATCTTTGCTCTTGAGAAGCAGCTTAATCACACCCCTGGTGATCCGTTGAGGCATAGACCCCTGCTTCATCTAGTTGTTGAAAATCAGTGCCAGCAAAGGGACGAAGATGGGCGACTGCCTCAAGTACATTTCGTAAGGAAGACCATCTAATCCCGGAGTCTTGTTCAGGCCAACCTGTTTCAGCGCATCCCAGATCTCAGACTCTGTAATGGGACCCTCGCACCCAGCCGCTTCAACCGCCTCGAGACGGGGAAAGTCGGCTAAATAGGCATCGAACTGAGCAGGGCTCAGACCGGGATCCCTGGTAAACAGCTCCTGAAAGTAGTCACGGAAAACATCACAAATGCCCACGTCTGTAGTCACAGTCCGCTTATCCGGCAATGTGATGCTCGCGATATGCCGAATAGATGCTCTACAAGCTTCCTCTGCACGCAATTCAGCGGCCATGTTCGTAGCCTCGCAAGACATTCTTTTTAATCTAGCCCTAACTAATACAGCTTGATCCTTCTTGATAAGCAAGGAGGCCAGCCCCGCCTTAGTTAAGGCTACGTTCCTACTATCACGGGATTTGATCGCCCGATCTACTTTTGTCTCACAAGATTTTTGCACTGCTAACCCTGCTAGATTGAGTCGGCGACTAAAATCAGCAGCAAAAAACATAAGTTTAGATTTTAGAGAATCCCACCACTTATTCTCAACTACAACCCCCGACAATTCCCGCTGTAGCAATAGTAGAAGCTGGTCCCGGAAATCTTGCTCGCCAAATAATGAGGCGCTCAATTTCCAGTAGCCAGCCATCTTAATCTTAGGCTTATCTAAGTTTACCCGAACCCGGACAAGCCTATGATCCGAGTAAACTATAAAATGGAAACTTGGACATTCTACGAGCCCTACATCGATTCTCTTAACTAGAA